TTATGGCACTGGTAGCTGGTAATTTGTTGCTTGCTTATTAAACTGTTTACCAGCAGAGGGAGTCATAGCTTTACCGTTCCTCAGTAGCATTGTGCGCGTCCTTCTCATACAGGGGAGGAGAACCAACACAAAGCTTCAGTTCCTGTTGGCAAACATTTAAGTATAATGTCCACGAATGAGCAGATCTGAATCACTGTGAATTAAGCTATGAAAACAAATATGCATTCGTGTTGCTTGCCTTTCAGAAACATGGTATGAACGAAATGTATCAAGGTTTCCATAATGACCTCAGCAGAATACCTTATCATACACCAAATTAAAGTTATGTTCAACAAAATGTATTAAGGGAAACAAAAAACAAACAAACAAAAAAACAAACAAGAAAATACTCTTGTCCATGTAAAAAGGTCTAACTATTACAACTTGATTAAAACCCACAGTGGGCATACACTTGCCATTAGATTCTTAATGCTGTGATGCAATGTAATAACTAAAGTGATAACAAGAAAACACTAATATTTTACAAATCTGTCAAAACCACATTTAAAACAAACAAAAACAAAAATAGTGAATTCACTGAATTGAATTCAACTTTTTGTTTTTCCCCAAATTTGAGCAAATCTCATGTATTGTGTAGCCACTAAAAAAATTTTTTTCTGTTCAGGAGTGCAGGTAAACAAGTGTAGTTTGACAATCTAATAAAAAAAATAATGTGGAAATTCATTTATAAAAACAAACATTATAGCTGAGCGTTAAAATAGACATTTTAGTTAAAGAGCTTCCACATACTGGTGGATTAGCTATTATAGAAACATAAAACATGATTTTGGTAATACCAAAGTACCAGAGCTGTAATGACCAATACTATGAACTGTTTTGGGGGATGATTGGGGAAACTTTAGCCTTAATTAAGCATTAATCATATAATGATTTAAGTTAGGCATCTTTATTAGCTTCCTGAAGGACCCTAATCTTTCCTTGGTGGAGACCTGGATGATTATTTTGCCCATAAAGACCTGGATGTCATTAAAGTTTCCTTAGCAAAGTTACACACAAGTTTTTCCACATTATTTTCAAACCCACCCAACTTTTAACAGGTACACAGTTAGTTGGTGAGTAACTTTTCCACAGAAAAAATTAGAAATTGCGATTGTTAAGATTGCATGATAGGGACTGCAGATTTCTCAGGGGCTTTCCACCAAGAGCTCGCTGAGAGATTTCCCCCAAAATTTAGGGCAAAGGAAGATGGGGATCTCTTGTCACATACCAAAATGCAATTTTTTCACAGGCTCGATTATCCCTGTCCTACACACCACTTTACATTCCTCTGAGACAAAAACACATTTTGGGAGAACTAAAGATGAAAGACGTTGCACACATTTGCACTTGAGATCATACAGGAAGTCATTTGACAGAAGGTGTCAGCAAATTGTGTGAAATGCACTTCTCATAGGGGAAATGCAGAGCAGAGCAACACACTTTCTCTGGGGAAGTGTTTTATCACTGTTAACGCAGCAGTGCACACCATGTTTAGTTACACCAGAAGGCTTTTCTTATAGCCCAACTTTCACCAATTACAAACAAAGTAAGAATCAGCTTGTTTTGTTGACACTTCAAGACTGATAATGCAAAAAGAAAGAAAGAAAGAAAGAAAGAAAGAAAGAAAGAAAGAAAGAAAGAAAGAAAGAAAGAAAGAAAGAAAGAAAGAAGCTCAACACATGGAGATGATGGAGTTGATTAAACTCAGATAAATAAAAATTCTGAATCTGATCTGTTCAGATAGGGATGTTGCACTTGAACACAACCATAAGGAACAATAGGTGTAGAATTCAAGTGGAAAACACGAGATCTGCTTGGTCTCAGAAACTACAGTATTATTTCCTTGGGCAACAACAACTGCTTGTACTGGTATGCATAATTTCACATACTCTGACATCAGTTCTAAAATTTTTGAAAGCTCTTCTATGCTAAATTCTGTCACATGCAAAATGTTTGGGGGTTTACTTGCATTTAAAGCTTATTTCCAATTCCTCCCACAACATCTCAGCTGGAGTCAAATGTGGGCTTTGACTAGGCCACTAGTCTCGCCACATAATCCAGCATTTCTTCTTCTTTTTGAGCAATTCTTTGGTGGATTCACTAGTGTCTCATTGAAGGCTCCACATCATCTTTTGGACAGATGGCCTCACATTATCTTTAAGCACTCTTTGCTGTGATTCAGACATATGAATCAAGTGCCGCAACTCCTCAATCTTTGAGGCAGGGGAACAAACCCAGACTGTTACATAGTCACTGCCATGCTTCACAAGTGAACTGAGCTTCTTCTCCTAAAAATCTGCCTTTGGTTGTTGCCCAAACATGTTTGCTGTTACTGTAGCCAAACAACACTATCTTTGATTTGTCTGTCCCGAGCATATTATTCCAACAGACCTGGTCTTTACAGATATGTTTATTGGCAAACGGTAGCTGGTCTCTGATGATATTTTTAGCCAGCAAAGGATTTTTCCAAGCACACCTCCCATGCAGGTCACATTTCTGCAGTCGCTTTCTGATTGTAGCCAAAATCACTTTGACACCAACAGTTGCAAGAGTCACCTGCTGATCCTGTGATGAATTTTCTTGTTATTGTAAATTTGTTTCTGCATCAAACACTCCACTCTTGTGGTTGAATTTGCTGGTGTGGAAACACCACTGTGAACACTACTTGTAGATGTTTTATTTTAATTGTAGAGCACAGTTTATTTAAAATCATTTGGACTTTTTTTTATTACTTTGTCAGAACTATGTTACCAATTTTTTCTCTGAAGCTCTTTAGATAGTGCCACGGTGATTCCGTTTCAAAACGAACACCAACCCTTATATGTCAAAGATTTTATGAGACTTGTTTCACCTGTCAATCTTTAAGAAGCCTGTAGTCACTGGCACCAAATGAAGGACCCACGGTTCTAATTCTATGGATTTAAAGGTGTGATAAATATTGAGGTATGAATATACTTTTTCACATGGCAGTCGTGTTTTTATTGGCTCAAATGATAGAATTAAATAAAAACGGAAAATCTGTTGACATTTTTTTCATTTTGAGTGACAGAGTCTGTAGGCACCGTTTGAAAGAAGATCAAAAATTTGCTCCTCCAAATATTTTATGTCAAAAACACCCACACTTGTATCTACATAACTACGAATGGATGTCATGGGTGCACACTAATGACAAAAATATTGCAATGAGCTCACTGTGGCTCCCACACAACAGAAACCAGTGAGCTGAGTGAACAGTATTCCTAATACTGAGATGTGTCCAAACAGAAGAATATTGTTGTGCTGCACAAGTAGAAAGTCAGTATTTTGGCAAAATATTGGAACTTTTGCAACATTACATTTTTAACTCTGTCATTTCCAAGTTCCCTCAAACTGATGAAATCCTATCAAAGTTGTTTCTATATAGTTTTTCTCATAACAAAGACACGTTTATTGCAGCTGCTCCAAAATGACGCAGGGCTTTGCTTTTCTTTTTTTTCTTTCTTTCGTTTTTCTTTTTACTGAGATTCAGAGATTATAGTGCTATGAACCTGTTTTTTTTTAAAGGCTGTGGTTGCAGGAAGTCGGAATATTTCATAAGAACATTTTCACACATGTAGCAAACACTGGGTGTGATTTTCAGGCTGCACAACATGTTCTATTACATCAGTTATAAAAGTGGTGCACAAGACTAAATATAATTTTGTGTTGGATAATTGTTTTGCAAAGTAGAATAAATACTTTTACTTAGCTAAAATGTATAATTGTACTCGAGCAGCTTAAGTAGTGCACAAGTTGTATAATCATAATATCTCTGAATTGCCAAAAGTAAAGATACCTTATAGAATACCACCTTTCAGAATCAAGTGCATTGTATTATATTATATTGTCTTTAGTTTTTTTAGTTGTTGATTATTTTAATTGCTTATATGTAAATGGGTAGCCTAATGTATACTAATTAAATTTTTCACTTCAGTTCAATTTATATTTAAATAGTGTCAATTCACAAGGCATCTTACACTGTAGGGTAAAGACCTTACAAAATATGAAAGAAAACTCAAACTATCGGACAACTCCCTATAAACAAAAAACATGGTGAAAGTGGGAAGGAAAAACTCCTCTCCCACAGGAAGAAACCTCCCAGAACCCCCATGGCTCTGGGAGCCATCTCCTGTGACCGGTTAGGTGTGAAGGGGAAAAAAAGAGTGCAGAGGAGGACAGGACAAAAGGGACACTATGGAAGAGAAAACAGAGCTTAATAAATACGAAAACTGTTTTAAACATTTGTAATAGTGGTATATAAACATGAGAGTTGGGTAGAGAAGAAATGCACAGTGCATCATGGGAAGCATCCCAGCAGCCTAAGGCTATTGCAGCACAATGAAGGAAGGATTCAGGGTCACCTGATTCCAGCTCTAACCATAAACTTTATTAAAAAGACATATTTCAGCCTGCAGTCTGTGTGTTAAGTGCAACAATGTCATTAATCTGCTAAATAATAAGACGCGAAAGGGTTAAAATAGATGCTAATAATAATGCAATAAGCGCTTCTAAAATATAGGGAATTACAAGCAGGAAGTAGTATAAGAAATACTTCAATAAAACAAAAGTACTTTAAACCTGTACTTAAGTAAACCGGTCGAGTAAATGTACCCGGTTACAATCCTACTGGTCCTCTGCATACATTGTGTATATAACGTGTATTTTCCTTAATGTTTAGACTAAGAATATTTGTAATGACAAATCTTTGTTCACCACCGGAGCTATAAGTAAATTGGTTTAAATATAATCGCATCTGATTAATCCACGCTACTCCCTCTGTTCCTGTGCTCTGCAGTCAGGTTTACGCCGCTGATGTTCTCGAAACAGATCAGCTAAATCCCGATCATCCACAAACAATATTCCCCTCAGCTCCAGACATCTTCTCTGTTATTGGCAAAGGCTTTTCGGTTCACACACAGGAGGAATCTTAAATGATCCATGAAAAGAAAAGTGGTGAGGGAAGAAGGGAGGGAGCTGGAGGAGGAGGAGCCTCGCGTTGACTTTCACATCCATTCAGCCTTTTTTGCTGCAGCATTGAACTTGCAGAGAGAGCGAGAAAGGGTGAAAAAGGGCAGTCTGGACGTGCAGAAGGCGCTCTGTGCTATTATCACTGGGACTAGTAGGTTTCCTTGCCGAGGCTTTATGAAATGTAAAAAAGGGGACCGCTTTGCGATTCACTGAGGAGTGTTGCTGAAGAGGAGGGGCTGGGGACCAAGAGAATAATTATGCACTTTTAGATCGACGTCGCCCTGAACGCAGCGCAGCAACATCGCAGAACCTCAAGTGTGTTTAATCTCCGAAGTTGTGTGTGTCAAGCGGGCGATGATTCACGTCTGATTGTTGCTGTACTATATGGAGAGGACTGCACAAGGGCTAACGCTGCATCGTGGCTACTGAGATTCCTGCCTGAGGATTGCACAATCTGTTCTCCCCAAAAATGTCATCTCAGGCGAAAGTCAAGAAGGACAAAGAGATTATTGCCGAATATGAGACCCAAGTGAAAGGTTGGTAACGCGCAGGCCCGAACGTATTGTTATTGTCTGTGTGTAGGCACAATTGCGTAACTTTACCACAAGCTTTATTTGGCTTCAGTATGCAGTCTTGTGGGCTGGGACAGATTTTATAGTTGTGTGCGAGTCATTTGTTTTCACCAGAAAAAAACGTCTTTTAGTTCATGCATTCAAGCGTTAACTCCAGTTGTCCATCTGGGGTGAGGTTATTACTTGAAATTACCTTGGGTTAACCGGTATCTGTGTTGCGTTGTGTTGAGATGAGTGTCAGGGTTGTGGCATGCCTAGTCTGTATACATATGTGCCAGCTATTAGACCGTCATAATTTGTTTAAAAGTGAAGCTGTTTTATTTGTTTTGTTTTTTTGTTTTAGTTTTTTTTTCTTTTTCTTTTTTTTTCTTTTTTTTTATAGTTCTACCAATCAGGTAACCTGAGATTTCCCCCATATGTATTTAGTTAAACATGTAAATATATCTAGTAAAAAGCCAAAATTAAATGATACGGTGTTAGTCTTTAAAGGGAGTATATTTATGAGTTTTCCCGTCACACTGTAAGGATAAGGAGTGATTGCTCAAGAAGGTCACACAGCCAACAGTTCAGAAAGTCCATAAATAATGTATGCTGTCTGTATGAATTATGAACCATGAAAGGATTTCACTGTCTGCCACTAAATATGTGACTGGCTAAACCACCCAGAGAGAGAAAGAGAGAGAGGAGAGGCGGGAACACTGATGCTGGATTGGAGCAGACAGTGCAGGTTGTAAATGGGTGGGATATCCTCCCAGCCATTTAGAGATAACTTTAGACGGTACTAGGTCTCAACGCTTGGTGCATCAGCTATCAGGGAAGTAGTTTTATGTAAGGCTACCGCAAAGACAGGGCAGCTTCCTTATACCATAGGTTGATATTTTTCAAACTAGGTAGAACTGGAAAGGTCATTCAACTAGTTCATCAGTCCAATGAGAAAAAAAATAAAAATACAAAAATGAACTGAGATACTAATGCTTGGCAGATAAATATGTGCAAACCTAGTAAGACATTCCAGTTTGGGTTTGGTTTCATAAATATTAACTATAGGCTATACTTTAGCTAATTAACTTATCATATTGCACATACATTGTCTAGTAGCAGGCATTTTTCTGTCACTGCAGCACCAAAATAAGCTTGACTATTTTGGTTATGCGACAAGGCAGTGCGGAGCTAAGCACTTTTGCCTCACAGCAAGAAGGTCCTGGATTTAAATCCAGCATGGGGCCTTGGCGTGTGGAGGTTCTCCTGTGTCTGTGTGGGTTCTCTTCAGATTCTCTGGCTTCCTCCCACAGTCCAAAGTCAGGCATGCGGTTAGGTTAATTTGTGATACTAAATTGACCATAGGTGTGAATGTGAGCATGAATGGATGTCTGTTTCTCTGTGTTAGTCGTGCGACAGATTGACTCACGACCTGTCCAGCTTGTAGCCTGCCTCTCACCGCATGAAGGTTGGATAGGCCCAACACCCACAACCCAGAATTAGATAAGTTGAAAAAAATGGTTGCATGGACAGATATTATAAATACAGGCCTCTCTACACTTACTTTGATGAGATTTAGATTAGACAATCAGCACTTCTTTGAAATCTGTACAGTAAGTTAGCGATAGCGGATGGCTTGCTTAAAGGAGCAAATGGCTAAGCTTATACTAACCCCATTTACCCAGTCACACATATTCACAAAACCACTTTCTTCTATACCTAAACTCCAGTCTCCCTTTTTTGCCAGAATTAAACCTAAACTAAGTCCGGCATTGATTTTTTTTCATCATTTCATCTTTGTTTGAAATGTTAAACTATGATTGTTATAGGCAATTAAAATTTTTTATATCATGATATGAGACTAAATGAATGTTTTAATTTCACACTGGACCCCAGCAGACCTTAAACTCATTAATTTTAATGACATTATCATCATATACTAGGAATATGCTAATATATCAGCTTTATGACATCAGCTGACTTATTGGATGTTTATTAACATTTTGGAAAACAAAATGAACAAACACAATCATCTGCACTGGTTATCAGTTAAGAGCTTATCTTAAACGCTGGCATCAGCCCAAAATTTGACCCAGAATGCTTCTTGTTATATACACACATTAGACCTCATTGCTGTTCTACAAGGAAATGTCAAGAGCTTATTAGCATGTGTCTGGAATGAAGAGTATGATAAGCATTTTCAGTCAGAGGTGTGGTGGAGTTTCTCCTTGTCACTATCTCTGTTTGTTTGTTTGTCTCCTGCACTCGTATTCACACGCTCTTCCTCCGGTCTACACATCAGCTCTGCAGTTGTTAGAGCGCCATCGTCTCGATTTCAGGAAAAGCTTTTAAGCTGACATCTTAAGCTCATTTGCAAACTGAGCTTGGATCGGTTCGGAGCTGTGGGAGCTTTATTCTGACACTGACACTGGCCTCCAATAATGCTGAATTGCTGATTGCACAGCAGTTCAACACACAAGCCTAATGCACTTTGTGGCATTTTTCAACATGCCACATTTCAGCAGACAGTCAGGTCTCAGTTACAATTTACGTGGGAGTTTATGTTTTCAAATCACATAAAATGTGTTATAAAATTCTAATTATTATTAAATCTTTCTTTATACTGTTTATAGTATTTCCTTATTCAGCTGAATATTGTTGTTCTAGAGTGTGTAGCTGAGCACCCCGAAGTGTCTCTAGGCTTCTGTCTAATCTGACACTAAAGCACAATTAAATGAGGGGATGCCCCTTCATGTGTCATTCTGGACTTCTAGTTTTAAAACCCATTATCTTTAATGCAATTGGATCAGTTTGGAGTCGTATGCACTAATCGCTGTAATAGTCCATAACACAAAACCTTTGCAAGATGTGCTGTTGCTATGCTACTACAGAATGAAAAGCAGAGTAGAGTAGTATGAAGTGGAAACGCTTGTGACATTTGTGTTTACTGACAATGCATTTGTAACAACACAGGTGTTAGAATAAGCTCTCTTTCTGACCCCATATTCACTGCAGATATGCATCCAGACATACCCCCTTGTGGGTATTCATCAGCTTGAAATAATGCACAGAATGATGCTGTCTCAAAATGTCAGCACAGCATCGCGACAGTGAAACGACATCTTTGTTGCCTGTTTTTTGGTATCATGTATTAAATGCTGTGCTGACAGTTGAGTTTCTTACCCAGTTTAAAGTGAAAATTGCTTGGAATTCTGATGTTTTTTGGCCTTTGGCTGCACAAACTGTGTGGAGAAGTAATGAAATCTCAAGCAAATAGATTATAGAGTCATGCCATAGCTATTATTACATTAAGAAGACACGTGTCCACAGAACACAACCTTGATTTGTACCAAATTATGTCAACGTGTCACTCTGGGTTAGACTTTGTATGACTAGCCATGCATGGCTAACTAACCCCAGAGATTGCTGCTGGCCATCGCAGTAACTGTACTAAGCTAGCTTGAATGGGATATGTGGGTGCCAGTGATATGTGATATTTGTTCCTTTATCCTGCAGTGATGCAGGAGCTCAAATAGGGGGAAATTATGGTTCAGCTGTGGTTGTGCATTGGCACGAAATGCACAACCACAGCTGCAGAATGCGCACCTACCTGCACAGAGTGTTTGTTGTCAGATGGGGGCAGTGACAAAAAATGTGTTACAACCAGTCTGTGAGCTACTCCTGCACGTGCTGTTGTTGGTCAGCAACAGAGAAGGTCAGAGTTTTAACATACAAAGAGCCGAAGTGAAAACAAGTGTTAGAAACAAAGTGTCCACTGTAGGCACCATCTATAATTTCCATACTTTATTTTTTCTTTTTTTTTCTCTCTTCATCCATTTATGGTGAATGATGTTGCCCCCAAACGTTGGTCCTTGTTCTGGCTCACGTGTTAGCCAAAAAGCATTCTGCTGTACTTATGCTATTACGGTTATGTACATTGTCTCTTACCACACCACACCACAATTGTGCTTCGGTTGCACCAGTTGTGCAAAAAATACAGTATGAAAAATATAGACTGCAGTTGCAGTGGACAGCTTTAATTGTTTGTAACACTCAGTTTCAATTCAGCCCTCAGCAGCTCAAGCAAGAGCCCACAGACTGATTAGGTTACATATTTTTAACACAGCCAGGTAGACAGGGTGTCTGAAGCTGCCACCACCACCACTACCTACCACCACTAACCCATAATTTCTCCATTCAACTGATGCACAGTATCATGCACATTAAGCACTGTGCAGTTGGGATTTGGAGGATCGCTGGGGAGCAAGTCTGCATTGGTTAAAAACACCATCTCAGAAAGCAAATGCATACATAAATAGACACCATTGCGATACCATAAATTAGAAATAATTTGTAGAGCTACAAGGCAATAAGCAAAGATGCCCCCAAATTCAGGTTGGGTTTGCTGTCTGCGTACTTTGTACTTCCTCTATGATGCAAGCAATTATACAAGTTCTCTTTATTTAATTAAGCTGCAGGGTTACCATCTAAGTCTCTGTAAGCAATTATTTTTTGCTGAAAATGCTTGGTAAAGTTACCACTGCGTCTCTGGATGTTAACCATATGGTTTAGAAGGGGTATAGCTACAAATGTCCTATTAGTGAATTTCCACAAGCCTTTAGGTGTGGAACATTTTATTCACTTTGGCTGCACACTGTTCACATGCAGAGGAAGCATGTCTGGCTCAGTATTTTATGGCTCTTGTGTCACCAGTGAAAAGATAGAAAAGTGTCAGATTTAGAGAGCTTTTGACGCTTTTTTCAATGTATATAATTCACTTGAACTCCTTGCTAGCTCTGTGTAATTATGCATTACACTGCAAAGGCTTGAATGATTCATCGAAAGTACTGCAGTATTGCACAGTCCCTAGTAACAGTTTAAGTTCTAAAAATAACATGCTCACAGGAGAGCAAGTGCAAATATCACAAGTCTGTTTGATGTTTCCTTTATAAATTTGTGCAGTGAAATCAATTTACATCAACTCATTATATTGTTTGCTCGCTCTTTTAAACTCTCCCCATACGATTAAAATTATTTCAGTCAGAGAGGCCCACAAATTGTGCTGTTCAGTGGTCTATTTTAGCACATAACCATTCCTTCTGTTCTGAACCCGATTGCTGTCTCATTCATCATCACAGGCTGTTTGTTGAGTATTTCGAAGCAGAGTAAGTTGCCCTTGTCCTTGGCCATTATGCTAAACAGACTGACTGCTGCGACTGTCAGAACAGGGAACTGGCCTGCTCTCATTGAAATGCCTCCAGAGGCATGTAACCAGGCAACTGGGCAACTGTGGGGACCATGAGGGGTACATCTCCAGATAGCAAGGGACTACATATTTACACAGATTTTCTCACTCTCTCTCACTCATTCACATTTTTCGCACACAGTCGTTTGGGGGAGGATTAAAAAGAAAAAGAAAAACCTTTTATTCTAGATACAGGAGCACCATTTAGATGCTAACAAATGGCCTTTTCTTCTGCTGAGCAATCTTTTCCATTGATACATTTATACAAAGTGTCTTTCAGTCCTCAGGATCTTATGCATGGTTGTAACAGAATGTCATAGTGGAATCTTCAGCCATCTCAGCTGTATCTTGTTGTCTTGTACAAAGAGAAGCGTTGTTTACCCCGCCCCCTTTGTAGTTCTATGACTGATTAATCCAGAGATGTAAATTTACCAGTGATTCAGTTCAGCGTGGTGTATGGTAAAATAACTACTGCTCTCTCAGAGATCTGTGATAATGCAGGAGAAGGCTGGGCAGGAAGTTAACATGGTTGTTTATCTGCTTTCAGCAAAATTACGCAGCACTAAAAATTTCCTCAGCAAAATTCTGCAATACAGAGTGATAGTTACAAGGAGGCTATGATTAAGATTTAACGAAACATAAAAGTGCTACATAAAAGCTGTTTACTGTTTTCAGCATCCGTTCTAGCCAACTCCTATGGATGCTTGCTGCTTTTTTGTATGCGCATTGGCAGTAGCAGGGTATTTAAACACAGCCCTCAGTCCTGACATGATATATGGTTCACAGCCAGCAGCCTCTTAACCTTCGGATTTATGACAGCCTTGCCATAAACTCTACGTGGAAGACATTGAATGTGATTTGTTTTCCTTTTTAGTGTTAATGTAAGACTGTAAAGGGGATTTTACTGTTTTATTTGATGTTTTTATTACCTGAAATCCCAGAGGTATTCAGGAATAACCAGTTGGAATACCAGTAGGGACTGTCTGGTCGTGGTGGGGGTAAGTCATTAAAATATGGCCACAGAGAAGAAGTTCAGGAAGGTAAATAATTATATTAGCTTTAGAGTAGAAAAACATGTCTGAATACCTCCTGAAAATTGACTGACATACTCAATATAAAAATCTAAAGCTTGTACTAATATTGCTTCTCTATCAAACATCCAATATTGTCCCAGCTGTATTTATAAAAAAGGACTGAAATACATTTATCCCTAATTCTCATTTTCAATGAACAGAATCAGACTTTCCAGATGTCATGAAAAGAAACCACAGTAATCTTATAATTGTAAGAATGCCTATGATTTGTTTTCTCAAGTCAAACTTCTCTTAAGGCTCGCTCAGCACAATGCATTTTGAGAAGCTGACCTATTTTATATTTTCTCTGCTGTCTGCTGTAATCATCAGACTTGCATCTCATATACACGTGTGCTACCCCAGCATTTGGTCCACCCCCCACCCCACATGCACACCACCACCTCGTTCACCACACGCACAAACTCAGACAGCAGACAAATACAGTTTGACGTCCGGTTTTATCCAATTGTGACGACTTTGCTCTTTTATTAGTGCCTGCGCTAGCTTGATTGTATCCTTACATATTTGTGTTTAAATGCTTTGCTCAATCCACTGTGGAAAGATTGTGGGTTTAATTTTGACCTGCAGCCCTGTTTGGCAGACAGAAGTAAGGCCCAGCATGCAAGCCTGATCCCCCAGAGAGTCGGTATTTATTCTGAACATAGTCTCCCTTTTTGATATGCAGAGATCCGTAACCAGCTGGTGGAGCAGTTCCGCTGTCTGGAGCAGCAGTCCGAGTCCCGGCTGCAGCTGCTGCAGGACCTGCAGGAGTTCTTCCGCAGAAAGGCCGAGCTCCAGCTTGAGTACTCCAGAGGCCTGGACAAACTGGCTGAGCGCTACTCCTCCAAGATCCGCTCCTCCAGAGAGCACCAGCACTTCAAGTGAGTCCAGCCAAAGACTTTTGCACAGTGGAACATTTGTATCCCATGTGTCTGACTGGTAAACAACCCCCATATATTTGATGCTGATTGCTACACAGACAGTTAAAACAGAGACAAAGGAAAAAGAGAGAAGGGATAAACAGAAAAATTTAAAAAAGAAACAGAGGGGGGATGAAAGCAGAAGAAATGACCTGAAATGAAGCCAGGGCCAAGGAAGCTTGTGGCCTCAGGCTGCTGTGTTTTTTCCAACTAGGTCAGACTCTTTACCACCACCCCCCTTTCTTTTCTCTGTGGCTGTCATTTTATTTCCATTCTCAAACAGCTTCTTCATGCCAGGGTGCTACTCAGATACTCATATATTCTCAATGGATGCAGAAAATAAATCACAGCTTCATTTAGAAATCTAAAGAACCAGACAATAGGGGTTATTTTACTTGGGTTTACTTAACTGGCTTAAGCTGTTTGTATGTGGGAGATTACTGGTGATGAAACAAGCACACCCTGCAGTATGCTGAGAAGCCACTTCCTCTCTGTTAAAACCAGCCTGCAACAGACTCTTGACTTTCAGATCAAGATCTGTAGTTCTGTTGTGTATGCTGCCCATTGCCATTTATTCCTATAGAAGTCCAAGCCAAACAAAGAATACTTATGTTTTCTGAAAATCACAGTTATAATTATTTGTTTGTTTAGCAATTCAGCAATTAATTAAAAACAAAAATAAACAATCAAATTAGATTTTAAGAATAACAGTTAAAAATACAGAAAAATGTGCCTTTACTTATTTTGACAAATGAAAGACTATCTGTCATAGTAATGATTAGCAATATAGAAAATTACAGCATAGGCATCCATTCATGTGACCTAGCTGTGTAAGTCAGGCATAACTAACTTGTTGGTTTATTCAAGAGAGGTCTTTCCAGCTCTCTTTCAGCCTCTCCAGCCAATTGGACAGGAAGCGTAATCATGGTGGAGAGCTCCACCACTGACACATTGATAAATGGAGCATACCCTCAAAGGGAGACCCCTATTAGGAAAAACCCTCTCATGGCTTCTCTCATCCCACTGTCCCAGATTTCCCCCTGTCATAATATATTGTTATCACTATATCCGTCTGTCAAAAGCTGGATTCCTTACTTGAAGACTCCATTGAAATGACTGGATGAAGTCTCAGTCATTATTAATACTGTGCGGTCCTCTCTGTTGGAGTCTTAGAACAAGCTCTGCACTCTCACTTTGATAGTTTATTTCAAACAGCGAAAACTTATTGCCCACTTTTTTCTTATCAGTCGTCCTTTCATATTTTAATTTGCAGCTACTAAAAGGGCTATCAGGAGAACATCTGGGAACATTTTCAAAACCTCCTATACCAAAGTGCTACCTGTGAGAAAATTCAAATCGCTCTATGTTTCAAAACGCTGTTTTTGGTGTCATTTGTAGCAGTTAGTAGGTGCGCTGTGTGTTTCACTGTCACTAAATTGTAATTCATATGAGGGTGGCATTCTCCTAAAGGTTTCTTGAAACAAGTGTTGTTGTACTTGTTATAGTTGTACAACGATGGCACATAAACTGTCCTAAAAACTAGACGAGCAGCCAACCGCAAAACATTGGCAGTCAGGTCAGCACCATCCCATGTCCTGGATCAAACAACTGCTCTGCTTGAAAGGAGTGCCTATAGGGAAAGGATAGCTTGTTCATGTTCTTTTCAAAGAGTTACAGGATGAAAAGAAAAGCAAAAAGAAAAAGCTGATGACCAGTACTCAAAATTACCTTTAGAACCACACATCTAGTGTTCACTGAATCCTCATCAGAAATATTCTCAGTGGATTTGTGGCTGTCAAGATGCCATTCTTAAGAAAGGGAAACAGGTAGGAGCAGCTGATATATGCCTAATTACATAAGTACTGGACTGAAAATCAGTAGCAACAGATCATATGGAATAGTAGTTCAAATCATAGTAAGTATGCACAGAAGAGATCAGCAGAGAGGTAAACAGTGAGTGACTACATTCATCAAAAACACAAGTAAAGCATGGTGGACTCTGTCATGCATTTCAGCTTGTTAATATTGATGGAATTATTAATGCAGAAATGTACAGTCGGATTTTGGAAAGTGCCAACACCTTCATTTTTCAGGATGAAAATGATCTCAAACACACTGCCAATGCAGTAAATGCATTTATAGATAAATGCAAATCTATAAATGCAGATTGGCACAGCACTGTAAGATCAGAAACCTTGCCTGGTCTAATGAACCAGTGAGTCTTGATTGTGGCTTTGGCACTGGGATAGTAGGGTCAGGTTTTTGGCATATCCCTTTAGCACCCTTTATGCTGTCGCTCAGGAGGAAGTGCGGGTCATCTACTAATCGGTCCCTGGCTGCTCCAGTCTACATGCCAAATATCCTTGGGCAAGATACTAACCCCAAGTTGCTTTTCAGTGCATAGGAAGAACTTGCATAGAAAAAAGTGCTTGTGTGAATGGGTGAATGAGGCAGGTGGGGAAAGCATCTTGAGTGTTCAGAGTAGAAGAGCGCTATGTAACAACCAGTCCATTTACCATTTTTTGATGGCTGCTTCCACCAGGACATCGCGCTCTTCCATATCATGTCAATATGGACCAAAGATTTCAGAGGAATTTTTCCAGCACTACGTTGAATCTGTGCCTTGAAGAATCGAGGAAGTTACGAAGACACAAAGACACATTCAACACAGTACTAGCAAGGTGTACCTTATAAAATGGCCGGTCAGTGTATAATACTGATTATGAATGGGACTGAAACAATGCAGTGTTTATGCCTTGGACAAAAAAAGACAATGACAATGGAAACATGTTCATGTTCAGTTCGTGTGCATGACAGAGTTAATTTTTTCCCACTGAAAAAACTTAGGAGTTTAAAAAATAGCACAACAAAAAAGGTTTTGAACAGTCTTAGATTACATTTCAGCATTGTTTTGGATGCACTGAGGGAGCTGGAGAGGGCCTATAGTGCCTTTCTTCTCCTTTGTTATAGTGCAGAAATGAGCGCTAGCTGAAGATTAGAGTGAGCTTCGCCAAGGCAGAAAAACAGCTATAATTCACTTCAAAAAGAAAATGAAAGCATAAATACAATTCTCCACGGATGAAACTGATCAAAGTTTTGCAGCAGTTGAGAGAAAACAAGTCAGGACGACTCTTTCAGTGTGATCTTCAAAACCAATATTAGAGTCAAAAATAACTTCCGTATTTTTGATTCACACTGAAAACGAAGAAGCTGTTGTGGATCAGAAAAAGTGCAGCGGGTTCACCACAAGAAAAGCATCTGTAATTTGAGGTTATTTACTGGAACTATTTGCACAGACAACTGAACCAGACATTGTGTTTTAAGAAAAGTCATATTTTTGAAGCTACACAGTATTAAGAGCATATGTTACTGCCATGGGATTTCAGCCATGGAAGGATATGTAAGGCTTCTAACTTTACTTGGTGATCGCAGTAAGCAATGAGCAATGATCTAGAATGCAACACTAAGAGATCGAAGAGAATATGTGACACATCCGATATGACTGTACATTTTCACATGTGTATGTTTAGCACTTTTTGAGTCACTATTTGTGACTCTTATTCAGCATGAGTGGTTTCTGTGCAGTCTACTTAAAAGCTAGAGTCTTAAGAGAGATGGTTTTTAACTTGCTGTTTGACTGATTAATAATAGTACTGGGCAGGAACCCATTTGAATAAATTAAAATGACTGTGTAAACTTATCAGTGCTCAGTCTTGGGCGACGTGTCAGTGGTTTCTTATTTAAAAAACTTGACTTGGGGTATAAAAACTTGTAACTAGCATGACTTTATAACTCTACAAAGGGTAGATTTTAGTGCAGCATATTGCTGATACAAACTGAGGTCATCATCTTATTAGACATGGTTGTTTAAAGCACTTATTTTGCTACCTGGGGTTTTAGTGCTGGTTTCTACTAATGACACACTTTGCGGCATGCTGGTATAATCATGACGCATTAGGTTCCCCATTAAATTAAGATGAACTTTTCACATTAAATTTACTGGGAGTTTTCTAATGCTTTCCATCTTAGTTGATAATGTGTTTTTTAGAAGTTATGAAAATGGTGATCTTAGCCTAAATGTCCAAACTCTTCCTTTTGCTCAGGTTGTGTGGCAAAAAGAATTCTGTGGTCTGATTGTCTTTTTCACATCCCCAAAGAAATGCAAACTGTGAAATTAATTCATCCCAAATTCACTGTTCTCCTTTCACAATTCAATTTTGTCTGATTCGCAGCACAGGTCAGCTATTGGCTGATAGCAAAAAATGTTTTATTTTTACTGTGTGCATCCAGCAGTGTCACAGAGCATTTGTATATGCTGTCATGCTAAAGTGTTCTCTAAAGACAAAATGAGAAGAAAAATACCTCCATTAAATCTTTGGTGTGATGATAATTAAACTCACATGTCCTCTTAAGCAAGGAGGCAGCCAGCATGCCTTCTGAGTTTGTGTGTCAACAAGTGCGTATGCTGCCTTTACTTGCTGATTCCCCCCACATGAGCTGTGACCACTTGATCTCTGATATGTGAAGCCCACAGGCGGCACCAAATAGTAAATAAGCTAGGATTAAAATCAATGTTGGGTGGTGTAAGAAAGTCGTGACCATACATACACGTTCTCTTAGGTGTCCTCTTTAGTTTTCTTGTTAGCCTTTATCCCATTTGGTTTACATTTCCTGAAGGCCTTTCATTCATTAACAAAGTATTTCTCTCGCTGTTTCAGGAAAGATCAAAATCTCCTCTCCACTGTGAACTGCTGGTATTTGGTCTTGGATCAAACCCGACGCGAGAGCAAAGACCACGCCACACTCAGCGACATCTACAACAACAACGTCATTGTCCGTTTGGCGCACGTGGGTGAAGATGTCATCAGACTTTTCAAAAAGGTCAGAATCAGAATTAAATGAATGAGGTCATGCTCCCCTGACAGTAACTAACACACACATTTCATCTGCTCAAATGTCATGACAGGTAATATGTAAAAATATAATTAATATATAAAAAATATATAAAAAAATCTAATTAGGGGAAGGGCATGAAAATATCAGTTAGGGATGTCAAACTCATTTTAGTGTACGGGTCAGGTATTTCCCATTTTGATCTCGAATGGTTTGATCAGTAAAACCACTGCATTATAGCCCATAAAAAAAACAAAGGAATAAACAAAAAAAATTTCCTTTGTCTTCTCTTACTTTTAGTGTAACCAAGTAAATGTACTTTAGTGTACTACAGTGATACTAGTGCATTGCACACGATGTTTAGAATAATGAAGGAGGACTAGCTCTACAAATTCTTCACCTTCACCTAAAATCAACAGCTATCAGATGGTTGAAACTTGGGCACAGTTGTTCCATCAGGACAATGATCCCGAACACATCAGGACAGGTTTTTAGAAAGGATAGAGGAGGCTAACATTAACCTTCTGGAATGGTCTTCCCAAAACCCCAACCTCAACCCCGTTGAGAATTTGTGAAATGATTTGTGTGTTGGTGCCAGGAAACCAACTAATTTGAATGGACTCCACCACCTTCTGCCAAGAAGAGCGATCAAACATTCAGCCGAAATTGTGCCAGAAGCTTCTGGATGGCTAGCAAAAGTGTCTGGTTGAGGTGCAAGTTGCTAAGGAACATTTAACCAAATATTAGTGGGGGTGTATGAATCCTGGGAGGATTAGAGAATATTCAAAAATAATTTCAATCTCATCCACCCAAAGTCAGTAGAGATTTATGCTGTTCAATCATTCCACCCTGGAAAAAACAACAGTTCAAAGAAATCATTAAAGCCAAAACTTAGCTTGACACTCATACTATATTAACTTTATGTAAACTTCTGACCACAACTGTAACTTTCTTTCATTTATCCAAAATTTTGTCTTTCAAACATATGTCTGAAACTATATATACTATATATATGCTTTAGTATACTATATATGCTTTATACTGTTACATATAAGAGTATACATAACATATGCTTTGCATGAGAGTAGCAGAGTACATGTGGAAAAGCACCCCCAACTACCTTAGGGATTTTATATCAGTATCATATCATTTGACAGCAGCAGGAGTTTAGAGTAATTTATGCCTTCTAGGGGGCTCTGCAGTATCTTGATGGGAGCCCTGATGAGAATGGGATGGCCTGTAACCCATGCTAGGAAAAACACTAACTGCCTGCAGAAAATCTTTTTTTTTTCTTTTTCAAAATGTTAGCTCAAATTCTGGTAAAGTTCTCCTGAACAATAATCCTGTTATACTCCAGTATCCTGGTTCAGCTGCAGTCTTGATGTTAATAAATGACACATGGGGGGAGGGAAATGAATCAATGCTGGCATCTTTTTAAACAAAGACTAAATGTACTGAATGTGCTAAAGTCTAATGCCTGTCACATGTGAAATTGCAAGGTTGCTGTTTTGACAAAGTAGTCCCTGAGAGGTGACAAAAAACAAAACAAAAACAGGATTGGTTGAGCTGAGCATTACTCCGTATTACCTCAAACGGATTTCTAGGCTCACTCTCCACTGGCATCATTCCCCGTCTTAGGTTATAACCCTTTTGTGGGACATGTCCAATTCATCATAGGCTCTCATCCTTTAAAACCGAACGGAAACTGCGACTCCGCTCAATGGGAAATGCTCTGCAGTTACTGCGCTGTTCTATTTTAGTCTGCATTTGCACTTTGGGCATTGTATCTTTTCTGGTGCAGCGTAATGATAGCATTTCAATACTGATGACATCCATCACATACAAAATAAAACTGGCACACAGCTTTCAAGTGTCTCACATGTGGGAAAGCAGTTCTGTTAACTAACCCAGTTCTTGTTCTTAGATGTTTGAATACTTCATTTGTCCTTTAAATGTGGTATTATTTTCCTCTACAAAGCTGTCTCCTGTTTTTCTTTTTTTACAGAGTAAAGACATCGGCGTACAGATGCATGAAGAGTTAGTGAAAGTCACCAATGAACTGTACACGGTGAGTTGCTGTTGCTTGTGTTGAAAGCCTATGGGATGTCAATCTTAAAGCTAGGCTTTTTTTAAATACCTAAACCTGCAACCTGTGGGTTTGACACCACACAGAGCAGATGTGCCTTTTTCAGCAGAGCAGCCTGTAACAGGTCATCTCTTCCCTCTCCTGAGGTCATGAAAGGATAAAATTTGCATTCTTCCTCCTGCTGTGAATTGCTACATGAGTTGAAGGAGACAGTGTTCCTGCTCCTAGCTGTGCTTCAAGCAGACTCAGCAGTCTGTGCTACAGAGGTGCACTGTGCTTACAGCAAAATGAGCTTCTGTAATGTTTTCAGCTAATGTTACATGTAATCTGACACCTCTGCTTGCCTCATATGTTAACAGTTGTCACTCTCGGTGGACTGTTATAACCACATACTGCATATAGAAATGTGTGCATATGCATACTAGTAAACACACAGCAAAGGTTTGTGCAGTGGTGCAGACACAAAACATCTGCGTTTATCTGCACTGTATCTTCATTTGGCAAAAGAAAAGGAACTGAGGCGTATCACTGGCTGCATGTGGGACAGTACAGCAGACTCGCCAGAATGCATTCTTCTGGCTCTAATTGCTCGGTGATATCCTTATCTTTACTTACTGCTCAATGGCTAATATGATTCATAGCATAAACGAAAAAACAATTTACAAGCATAAACAGACTAGATGTAATTAAGACTATGATGAAAGTGTATTTTGGCAAGCAGGACAATAGCATGCTGTGAAACAGAATACCCTCGTGGATTATTTTTTCCCTCGTCACATCCACAATTCATTGTTTTTCATTTCAGTGATTAAACAGAGCAGTCACCAAATTGTGTTTTAAAGGTCTTAAAACATTCCATTGCAAATAAGATGAGAAACAACAACATGCTCTTATAGATTTGCACTACTTTTCACTGTAAATTTGATTTATTTCATGACCGAGCGTTATTTCTTTTGCAGGATGTATAAAACTCCACTCTTGGCTGCTTGCACGTTCAAGCCTTTCTCTTGACATCCTAGTTGTTGTCAGCTTAATTGTGCAGGTGATTAATCCTTTATCGTGGTCCTGTAAAACTGGCTAAACATAATTGCAGAAAAGTTTGACAACCCTGTGATTTGATTCATTTATGATAAAGGAGCAAAAAGCGAAGATGAGCAGAAAGTAGGTCAATTGTGGATTTTTTTTTTTTACAGTTAGTTTCGCAAATTGTTAGTAATTTACAAAATTACTAAATTAAAAAAAAAGAGTTGGTGGCAAAAGGAAAAAAAATGACCTAGTAAGAAAGCTAAGCACATGTGCACATTGCAAAATGATGTGTATGCAGCACATCACAAATGGATTTGAATCTGGATTACTGAAATCGTATAAACCACATGAGAATAGTTCTCACATGTAACATTGTACCGTGCATGTTATATTACTGCTATACTGATATTGATTTTTCCTCCCTCTGATTCATGCATTATTAAATGCCTGTCTGCAGCTCCCACACACAGCATAAGGAATAGCAGGAGTCTGCTCAACTTTATAATTGAGAAAAGTGTAGAGTTTAAGAGAAAATATAATCATTGTGTGGTTATTTTATCATTTGCATCTTAAATAAGCAAATGTTGTCAGGCAGCAGGTCCCTGGTTTTGGTCAGCTGCTGAGTTTTTGCAAAAATTGAGGAGTTTTTCGTTTCATCTGTAGCAGAGGAGGTTGCTCACTGTCACTTTGTAACCTCCTTCCTCCCCTGCTGATCGATCTCACTGTCCTTTGCACGTCCGTTGCAGACGGGGTTGCTAGGAAACCAGAACTTGAGAATCAGTGATGGTGAAGCAGATGTTGTGCGACTGTGCTGTTGATTCAGGTTTACTAGTTAAACATTTACATGTGGCTTTTTTGATAAAACCATGAAACATTTATCCGAAAACAGAGATTGTTTTTGTAAAAGTACCACGACTGTCTTACTTTACTTTGCTGGGATATTTAATTTGTCTTGCTATTCTGTGGTTAGGCTATTGAGACAGTGTGGAGACATCAGACAAACGTACTGGACACTCCAGCTGAGTTAGAAAATGTCAATGAAAATATGACAGTCCCATGAGAATGATGAGTATGCTACACTCACTAATGTTTACTTGTGTGATGAACAAAAGTACTCCGGCGTCTTATTGGTATCTTTCTAAGCAGCTGCTGTGTTTATTAAGTCATGATGATCTGGTTATAAAATTAATAAGAAAGGTTCATAAAAAAGAGAATACTGACAATTCTTACTTTATTTAGCCAAAATCTAATGACCTCATGCCGTGGCGAGGCGTCTCTCTTCTGTCTGTCCGTTAATAATTCACAAGAATCTTTCTTCCTCCTAACTACAGAATATTGGTCATATTTTAGTGGAGCCTGCACACAGTGATCATCTCACAGGTCTCCATCAAATTTGTGTTGAAGGTCAAGTTCAAAGTCACATTTGTCATTCTCATTGGATTTTAAAATTCAGATTACGTGGTGTTTCGGCCCGTTTTTGCTGGCCACTTAGTGTGTTTTCAGTCCTGTAGTTGATTCTTTGTCCTAAAGAACAAACCACAGGGTGTCTCCCTACGGTTTTTCTTTCTCTTTATTTCTTTCTCCTTAACTTAGCCTGGTTCAGACTGAAGTTTTTTCTACGTACTGTCGGATCTTTGAGTTTTTTTCTGTAAGGTTGCAGAATCTTTAGGTTACAAAGTAAAATAATCTGATGATCAACAAGGATCCTGTACCAAAATTTGAGGATATTGCTTTTCTTCATCATACTTATCAGCTTCCTTGCTCGTTTAACTGTGATGTCCTTTATACTTGCTGTGTATTCTTGCAGGTGATGAAGACATACCACATGTACCACACTGAGAGTCTCAGTGCTGAGAGCAAACTGAAGGAGGCAGAAAAGCAGGAGGAGAAGCACATTGGCAAGGCTAATGACATTGGCCTGCGTTATGGCTACGATGATCGTCCACAGCGTCGAAGTTCTGTAAAGAAGATGGAGAAACTGAAGGAGAAGGTCTGTTTTTAGCCCATGTATGATGAGGATTTATGTCATGCACATTACTCCCAATGCACTCTATCTATTCGACTGCAAACAAGCTGTAAATGCATTTGTAATTGAAGTGTCCAAGTAAATCCAACTATTTTATACATGCACACTGACAGATTATAGAGAAGATACAACTGTTTAATGTATAATGCATTCTTAGAGTACATTAGGAAACCATTTTGCTTCCTCCCTTGATGGGACTCTCGCTCTTCCTTTTACACCCCCAGAGACAAGCCAAGTACTCTGAAAACAAGATGAAATGCACAAAGGCCCGGAATGACTATCTTCTCAATCTGGCAGCTACTAATGCCCTGGTGGCCAAATACTACATCCACGATGTCTCAGACATGATAGATGTAAGTCAGAGCCAAGAATGGAAATATGGATGGAAATGGAAATACTCTCTTTTTGTCAGAGTGCATTTTTATTCAGGTTAAGTTTGTTTTTGGATCTGTAATTACTATGCTTTGTTTTTTTGTCCCCAGTGTTGCGACTTAGGGTACCATGCAAGCTTAGCACGCACCTTGAGAACCTACCTTTCTGCAGAATATAGTCTAGAAACTTCTCGGCACGAAGGGTTGGACTTATTGGAGGGAGCAGTGGATGCCATGGACACCAGAGGAGACAAGCTGAAGTTTATGGACACACATTGCCAGATCTTCTGTCCTCCTGCATGCTTTGACTATCAGCCACACATGGGAGATGAGGTGAGTCAACAGGGAGGGTAATGATTTAAAAAGGCTTTCTTTGAAGGTCTTTATTCTTGCTATGTTTATTTTGCACTGTGTTAAGTCACTTTCGGAAATATCCCTTTATTTCTTAATCCCAGGTGTGTCAAGTGAGTGCACAGCAGCCTGTCCAGACAGAACTCTTGATGCGCTACCACCAGCTGCAATCACGTCTGGCCACACTAAAAATAGAAAATGAAGAGGTGAGCGGCTCATTTTAAAGCAAAACAAGCTCACTGATGTGCTTAGGTATACGTTTTAGATGGCCTTATCCATACTCACGCTCAGTTCATATTTGGCCTTTGATATGTGAAGCAGCATCTGTATTCTTTTCTCTATTCTCTAAGGTCAATATTTTCCTGTAGTATATCCTGATGTTTCATTGAGATAATGTTACACAGATACCAGAGTCTTTTGAGAAAGAGTCTTTATGTACAAAGGTGTACATAAAGACAAACAAGTGATTATCAGTGATAGTGAAGTTAGATCCTGAATCCTGTATAGGGTCTCATAGGGGAAGCTGTTAACATAGTAGTCTGAGTTGCTGAGTTTGAATATAGAGTTTGCACCATCAGTGTATTAATGCAAAATACTGTGCAAGGAAGGGAAGTTGTTATCATTCAAACCATCGACTAAATGTAGAAGAACAGGGAAAAAAACACATATCTGCTGCTCTAAATGCAAGAGTCTTTAAAACAACACGCTAAGACACCAGAGTCCTTGAGAAAGAGTCTTTATTGCCGTTAGATTGATGTGTTACATTTAGTTTTATACTTCATAATTTTTGCAAACACTCTCACACTTTCCCTTACATCTGAAGCTATAAGCTAACCAGCTACTAATCAGTCATTAGGTAGTTAGCTTAGTTTAGCTAGCTTTGATCAATATCATCCACTGAATACTGAAATCACTGAAATCGATCTCTTATTATTGTTTCTTTTACCTTTATTCAACCAGGAAAACCCCATTTAGATCAAATCTCTTTTCCAAGGGAGGCCTCGTCTGATCTTTCTGTAAATTATTCCATGTCCAAGTGAATAGTAAGAAAAAGCTTTTTTCCCCAGCCTGTTAGAATTCTAGGCACATTAAAAAGAAACCATTTACAGAAGTGTAGCTGGTAAATGTTGGTGCTGGGACAGAGAAGGGTAAGGTGAAACTAAAGGTTATAGAGAAAGAAATACCAATACTGTTTTTTGCAAGTGGTCAATGATGCCCAATCCATAAAATCTGCATAGCAGGCATGAAAGTAATATATCTGTGTTTTCATTCATCTTTTTTAGCAAACAAAATAATTTTTCACAAAACTATTCCTTTAGGAAAAACAGAACCCATCCCTCCGATTAGTCTATCACTCATCATCATGGCACAGGAGGCACTTTCATACCTTCATTTACTGTGTTGTGTTTAATAATGCGGGCCACCAACACCCTCCACTACAAACATGTAACAACAGCCAGCCACTCTCCAGAGCTGTCACTATGCATTCATATTCATTCATTAAATCTGACACTGATATGTGGGGTCGTATCTCATCCAGTCTCCTGCTTCCAATGGGGGCCACCCCCAGCATGGTCACCAAGGCCACTGTGACTCACACAGACATGTTTAAAGGTCACCAGGGTGTGTGTATGTGTCAGTGGCTGTCTGTCATGAATAAGGAAATCCACGGTCCCTTCCTGTCTGCCTCACATGGAAGGCACATAGTTAATCTTTCATGTCGTGATGCATCAAGCTAGCAAGCTAATTACTCTATTGTTCACTCTGTCAGTCTAACTTGTGCAAATAGCCTGCAGCAGTATAATCTGAGCTGCCGTGTTTACACCACAGTTTGTTCGAGACACTGAGAAGACTAATGAAAATATGCCCAGTGGTACAAATATTCTTTTATTATTTTATGTGTACAAATGACCAGTTTGCTATCTTTTTTTAATATAATTGTATTTAAACAAATATATTCATGTTGTGATTAATGCTGAAATGACAACTAAAGTTTACATCTATATTTGTTTCAGGTGAGGAAGACTCTTGACGCCACCTTGCAGACCCTCCATGATATGCTTACTGTGGAGGACTTTGATGTTTCAGAGGCTTTCCAGCACAGCCAATCCACAGAGTCTGTGAAATCAGCCTCATCTGACTCTTACATGAGCAAGGCAAACATCGCCAAAAGACGAGCCAATCAACAAGAGACTGAGGGCTTCTACTTTACTGTGAGTAGTTGGACAAATGAACAAAGAAATTGCAGCGTGGTGTAAATGTGCACAGTACAACACAAAGAATGTCTAGAAATAGCACTAATTGTCTTTTTGTCTTTCTTATCAATAGAAATACAAGGAGTACTTGAATGGCAGCAATCTCATTGTCAAACTGCAGGCTAAGCATGACCTTCTGAAGCAGACGCTAGGAGAAGGTGAGACTTATTAAAATGTTGTCGCACTGTGTTTAGCGGTGTAGAAAGTTCTGTATTAAAGTAACTGCCAAGAAAGCAAGTATCTCTAGAGTATATTAGTACCTTGATATATAGAAGCACATATAGAAAATCTATTATAGCTGTTTTTATCCAAAGGAAGTAGAGCTACTTTCAGCAGCTCCCTTATTTACAAGATGTCACCATAGCAGGTAACTCTGCATGTTTGATTTGGCACATTTTTTACACCAGATGCCCATCCTGATGCAACCCCAAAGGAATTTGTGTCTCCTTCTGGGATTGAACCAGAGCTGTTTCACTTGTTAGGCAAATATGTAACAACACTATACAGCCAATTTAGCCAAAGGAAGTAATTTTTAAAAAAACATAATATCAGTGATATCAAAATATCAGTAATTCAGTTTGTATGTAGCCTACCCCATGCTTTTAGAAAATACAATACAAAATTATATCATTCAGAGCTATATTAAGAGAACAAAAACCCTGCAGTCCATGATAACAAGCACTGTTATACAAATTTAAGACCCGAGAGCTGTTAAAATAATGAAGCCAAAGGGTCAGTAAGGGTCTGTGTCTTTTAATGTCACAATGTTGCTACTTTGGAATCACAAACATGTGTTAAATAATTTTGTTTTGTTGGGAATATTAAAAGTTTTCAGACTCCCATATATCACAGTTGTGTCTGCTGTACACAGATTCTTTTAGAAATCAGATAATTAAATATTGATCAAAACAAAACACCAAATTATATTACTTATTATATTACTTATATTATTATAAATGATATTATGCAGTAAAGTTGTAGTTCTCATGGCATCCTGAAAACTGCACGATCTAAAAGCAGGTCATCTCAAACCATGGATTACTAGTATAGCATTGAAAGGATATTTCTTCCCATGCTTTCCTTACATATTCATGATATTAAATATGTGTTAAACTCATCCAGAAGAGAGAAGAAAAGTATATTTGATGTCATGATGTCATGGTGATCATCAGACTCTTGCTAGCGTATGCTTTAAGGTTGGAATTATGTGTTTGACATAAAGACGGATTGTGCTGGAAGCTGCTTTACACATGACATGATCCTTGAACAAACATTTCTGACTGACTGATCAAAGCGAGGCCTTAATTTGTTTGCTATACTGAAACGTGCGTGTGAGTGTGCTAATGTGGTGCACATATCATGAAATCATAATACTGTACAAATCAGCTCCCACTCTTGTTGCCTCTGGATACATTTTCACTTTCACAGAGCTAGTCTGCAGCCTAGTCCCCTTCTGGGGCTCTTGTGCTGTTTCTAGGGCGACCGTTGAATGACCACTGCCTGGCGGTGAGTCAGATTCAACCATGGCGTTCACCCCATTCAGCCTGACTGAATAGATGCCCGTTTTCTCATAACACCCCTTTCCTTCTCCATCTGCCAGCCATGTATAGTCAGCCAGCACTCAACCGTGCTGCTAACTTCTGTGATTGTAAAACTAGTGTGTTCTAATTTAGCCTCTCTCTGTGTGTGCTTATTCCTTTTAGGGGAGAGGGCTGAATATGGAACAACGAGGTAAGGTTTTCAGTGACAAGAGGGTGAATAAAGTCGGCAATGATGTGTAAAATCCTTCCTGTGTCCTTGGATATGGCACAAATAAAGTCACAGTGTAGGAATATCGTTACCTCACCATGTTGAATGGTTTGGATCCAAATTAGAGATGCTTTTATCTATAGATATATCTTAAGACTAGGGACTGAAATGCCAGTGAGATGGATAATGATTTGATTAATAAAAACAATTAAATGAGGAGAAAATTAAAAAATATTGACAAGAAGGGTGTGTGACAAATACAAATGCTTGACTTTTATTTTGATCAATTAAATTTTATATTTAATTATATCTGTATTGAGTATTTTGTGATGTATTACCTTTCAGTCATTATTACTTTGAGAAAGTCACAGGAGCTCCATCCTTGTATTATTTTTACTTTTAGGTTAATACACAAATTTGCTTTCTTGCCAAGTGTTAAATGAGAAAGTTGATGCCAGAAAGCTGATTCTGTTCATCCTGATGGTGTGTTGGTCCCACTCAGATGATTGTATGCTCAGATTGAGGCTACAGCAAAGGGTTTGCTAATTTAAGTTAGCATTTAGTAGCAAATAGCTAGTGCAAGCACAATGTATCATTTGTATAATTCGGATTTTAGATAATAAGCAACACAAAATATTATACATTTAAAGCCACTAGCTAAGCAATTTCAAGGTACTTATTTATTTATTTTTGGTTTTAAAACATTGTGCTAAGCTAGATAATATGATTATGGCTTTATAGAGATAACGTAATGCATTATACACTCACTCATTGATTGCCCACTAAATGAAACATATTCCACTGTACTTTGTAGTGCAGTACTTTGTACTGTCTATAGAAAGTATTAATAATGGATGTAGCAGGTTTTTCGCTTAATTTAGCCAAAAAGCCTAAAACTGACATATTTCACATTCTCTATTAATTTGTTTTTTTGTTAAGTTGCCCATCTTTATCTTTTCTTCTTTATCTCTGTCATATCAGGTTTGTAGTTTTTTGACAGGTGACAGAACTGTAAAGGATACACCTTTATGCTATTCAAAATTAATGGAGAGCCATGAATTATTTTCCCTTCCTGTCTGAGCGAGAGTTTGACTAATTGCACTCTGTCTCTTCATATTTATCATAAAGAAATGAAAAGAGTATCGGCTGTCTCATCTAGCTCTCAGCAAGAAAGCAAATGACTGTAGCCTATCTCAGAAACGGTCAATATATGACTACCATATTCTTTATGATTTGGAGCAGCCTATTGTTTTGGTAAAGATCTGAAAAGAAAAACATCTTAAGCAAAATCAGTTTTACTGTTGCATATTGCATTATTTTTCATGTTTGCATTGTACCAACCCTACAAACCCCACCATCTCCCCAGGCCCCCAACTCTTCCCCCTAAACCCCAGAGAATGCGGAAGTGTAGACCTCGCTCCATTTTTAACCCTAGGCTGTTTAACGGCAATATGGAGGCCTTCATTCAGGTATAAGCCCATCTGTGCCCTCTGTCTCTCATGAGCTCAGCTTTCTCGCTAGCAGTCCTTGGGGGTTCTCTTGCCTGTGACCACTCTTTTATCCAAACATTGCCTCACTCATGCACTGACTTTCCTCTTGCTCAATGCTTGTCTTCACATTTGACGAAAACACTAGATAAGGTGAAAGCTGGTCCAGCAGCTTGATGTGAAGATGGTGTATTTTCAAAAGCACCAGTATAAGGTTAGTTCTTGTGAGCCCCCAGCCTCCGTACACTGAATTAATTTGGCTGTATGTCAGTTGGCCACACAGCAGCTATGCAAATAAACAGATGGCCACTTCCACTCTAATGCTAATCAAACTCAGCAGACAAGCAGGGCATGCACCGACAAAAGTATAGAGATAAAACGATTAACCAATGAATCAACTGACAAAAAAACAAAAGGAAAAAAAAATATTTTTTTTGCTTTATTGATTTTTTTGTATAGTGTTGTATGTTTTATTATCATTATTTATATCTTAGTAGTTCTTCAATGGGCTTTTTTCTCACAGAACAAATAAAGAATCAGTTAGTTGAGGAGATGTCGTAATTAGAAGATCGACTGATAAATCCATTCTAATTTCCCTCCAAGTCAAGAAGCTGTTTTTGACTGGAAAAATATGTCTTCCCCCCACCCACCATGCTCTGAAGTAGGCCCTTCCCTCCCACTCCCCCCCAAACCATGCCCTGATGTCTCACACGCCACATGGCACTGATGCTTTTCTCAGGCCATGCCTCGTCCTTCTCTCTCTCTCTCTCTCTCTCTGTCTGTCTGTCTGTCTGTCTGTCTCTCTTTGTAAGATCTGTCTCTCTCACTAACCTGTTGTGGTTGTTGTTGCTTCTCTTCCTCTGTCTACGTGCCTTACTGCTCTTTGCCCAGGGGAAGACGGAATGTCCGTGCGAGGAGTCAGGTACTCTGTCTTATAGCTGGGTGGGATCATTACACTGTATTTAGTATGCTAACCAACATTTCTGTGCCTCTGTCCCATTGGGATTCCTGTGAAAATACTGTTATTGTGGTGCACTAATTTATTTTTGTTTTGCATATTGTGACTCAGAAAGTTAACGTTAAGTGATAAATGATATCATCTCAGCCTTCTCATCATAATGGCTTGCTAGTGTGACTGTTTCTTATGGTTATTAATTTCTGATTTAGTGGTTTCTCTAGTAATAATTTGATTGTGTCTATAGGATTCAGGCCAGCCTATACCAGCGGTGGTTGAGAGCTGTATTCGATACATCAACCTGTATGGTATGTTCCAGTTCTATTCATAAGTTATCTTTCCACAAAGGCTGATGTTTTATTTGTTTAGTGCAAATTTACAACAAAATTCAACAAATTCAAATTTAACAAAACAAAAATGCATCAGATTCTGCATTAAGGATTCTTATATTGCAAAGTAGAGACCCTGCAATTTTAGATAGAAACGACGACAATAAGAGCGCTTATGTCTCTCCAGACTCTCAATATAAAGTTTTCACCTAAATTAATCAACTCGAGCTTTTATTGGTGTCTATCATCACACAAAATTTGAAAATTATATCTTAACCCTTTCACGTATAGTGGTCACTACAGTGGAGAGATATTCAAAGGCTGTTTTCCTGTATGTGTGTCAGGGTTGATGGTATACTTGCACATGATCACAACACACAGTGTATATTATTTATTCGTTTGTCAACTTCATAAGCCAAAAACGTATGTTGTCCACCTAAGTGGACATGAAAAAAAAAACTTTTAAAAATACATGTGTAAAAAAATTAAGTTCAAAAATCTTTTTTTCATGCCTAAAGATGAATAAAAATGTAAAAAAAATCCTGATTGAGGTTGTCATAATTCATGCATGAAAGGGTTAAAAACTGCAATAGAGCGCTAACAGACCAACAGACAGACAGTTATTCATTACAGCAAGTAGACAGAGCAGACAGAGTTTCCCTTTTCATTTTCTTGCTTACATGTAGTTTTCAGTCTGTATAATCAAAACACAACAAAACATATAATTTTATACAATCTGATTGTTAGGGTTTTCTCTCTGTTATTGTAGGGTCTTTACCTAATATAAAGTGCCCTGGTGTGACTGTTGTTGGGATTCGGTCCTATATAAATAAAATAAAACTGAATGATATGTATATACAACCTTAATATTGTTAATAGTAGCCATTCAAATATTTTTGGTATTTTAGAAGTTATTAGCAGTGAAATAGCATTCAATGTGAGATAATATAACTGCTCCAACTGGATCGTTTGGAAAATCTTAAACTGGAGCATTTCATATGTACAAGCCTGGATGAGAGAGTGAGGTGAAATATTAATTTCTATGATTCATTCATTTCTCAAAATGGGTTGCATTCTAATATTCATGATGCTCAGCTTACATTAATCCTTATATATAAGAAAGAAGATGGGGTGTAAGTGATAAACAGGACTTCTACTGTCCAAGAGATGCTAATGAATCTCTTACTAACTAATAGTAACGTCTGTCTTGTGAAGATTATTATAATAAGAAAAACAATGTAATTTTGATTTCCACCAGTTATGACTGAAAAAGCAGAAGCTTTGGCCCCACCCCTCAATTTTTGAATTAAGGTGTTTATAGTCTAATTGCCACATTCATCCATCCATTTTCTTCCGCTTATCCGGGGCCGGGTCGCAGGGGCAGCAGCCCAAGCAGAGAAGATATAATCTCTCCAGTGTGTCCCAGGGCATCCTCCTGGTGAGACATGCCCGGAAAACCTCGCCCAGGAGGCGCCCAGGGGGCATCCTTGTCAGATGCCCGAACCACCTCAACTGGCTCCTTTCAATGCGGAGGAGCAGCGGCTCTACTTTGAGCCCCTCCCGAATGGCCGAACTTCTGACTCTATCTCTAAGGGAGAGGCCAGCCACCCTTCAGAGGGTGTCCCCAACCCGGAGTGGGCACTCCATCCTTTTCCAACTGAGGACCATGGCCTCAGATTTGGAGGTGCTGATTCTCATTCCCACTGCTTCACACTCGGCTGCGAACCATTCCAAGGCGAGCTGGAGGCCATCACCTGATCAGAATCAGAATCAGAATCAGAATCAGAAAGGGTTTATTGCCAAATGTTGAGCAGGTTTACAACATTAGGAAATTGCTGCGGTGCTTCAGTGCAAACATAGTGTCATAAAAATATAAAAATAAGAATAAGAATTAAAAGTGCTACGTAGAAAGATATATACATGAGTGCAGGTGGTGATCAGTGCCAAACATGGAATGATGCAGTGAACACAGCGTAGGGTCATGTGTTAGTGGTGGGAACAGTCGTACGTTTATTGTTCATGTGTCCACAGCAGAGGGGAAGAAACTGTTCTTATGGCGAGAGGTTCTGGTGCGAATGGACCGGAGCCTCCTGCCTGAGGGGAGCAGGTCAAACAGACTGTGTCCAGGGTGAGAAGGGTCAGCTGAGATCCGAGCTGCACGCCGCAATGTCCTGGAGGTGTACAGGTCCTGCAGAGATGGGAGTCTGCAGCCAATCACCTTCTCAGCAGAGCGCACAACACGCTGCAGTCTCTGTTTGTCCCTGATAGTGGCTCCAGCGTACCACACGGTGATGGAGGAGGTGAGGATGGACTCGATGATTGCAGTGTAGAATTGCATCATCGTCCGTGTTGGCAGGTTGAATTTCTTCAGCTGCCTCAGGAAGTACATCCTCTGCTGGGCTTTCTTGATGACGGAGGTGATGGTGGGCTCCCACTTCAGGTCCTGGGTGATGGTGGTACCCAGGAAGCGGAATGAGTCCACAGAGGTGATGGGGGTGTCAGTCAGGATGACACCTGACGAAGCCAACAGGACCATATCATCTGCGAAAAGCAGAGATGAGATCCTGAGACCACCAAAGTGAAAGCCTTCCGCCACTTGGCCACGCCTAGAAATTCTGTCCATAAAAATTATGAACAGAATCGGTGACAAAGGGCAGCCCTGGCAGAGCCCATCACCCACCAGGAACAAGTCCGACTTATTGCTGGCAATGCGGACCAAGCTCTTGCAACGGTCATATAAGGACTGAATGGCCCGTAGCAATGGTCCAGACACCCCATACTCCCGGAGCATCCCCCACAGGACCCCCCGAGGGACACGGTCAAATGTCTTCTCCAAGTCCACAAAGCACATGTAGACTGGTAGGGCAAACTCCCATGTTCCCTCGAGTATCTTCAAGAGGATAAAGAGCTGGTCCAGTGTTCCACGGCCAAGACAAAAACCGCATTGTTCCTCCTGTATCCGAGGTTCAAACTCTCCTCTCCAGCACCCTGGCATAGACTTTCCCAGGGAGGCTGAGGAGTGTGATTCCCCTGTAGTTGGAACACACCCTCTGGTCCCCTTTCTTAAAGATGGGGACCACCACCTCGGTCTGCCAGTCCAGGGGTACTGCCCCCAATCCACACGCAACATTGCAGAGACGTGTCAACCAAGACAGCCTTAAAACATCCAGAGCCTTCAGGAACTTGGGGTGGACGAGGCTCTGCCACCAAGGAGTTGTTTAACTGCCTCAGTGACCTCGTCCCCAGGGATTGACGGGTCATCCCCTTCGTCCCCGGACTCTGCTTCCACCACGGAAGATGTGCCAGTGGGATTGAGGAAGTCCTCAAAGTATTCCTTCCACCGCCTGATGATTTTCTCTGTCGAAGTCAACAGCACTCCACCCGCACTATACACAGCGCAGGTAGAACTGAGTCGCCTGACTGTTTCCAGAATCTCTTCGAGGCAGTCCGAAAGTCTTTTTCCATGGCCTCTCCGAACTCCTCCCACACCCAAGTTTTTGCTTCCACCACCACCCGCGCCGCATTCAGCTTAGCCTGTCAGTACCTATCAGCTGCCTCTGGAGTCCCACAAGCTAACCAAGCCCGGTAGGACTCCTTCTTAAGCTTGGTGGCTCCCCTCCCCTCAGGTGTCCACCATTTGGTTCGGGGGTTACCACCATGGCAGGCACCAACTACCCTGTAGCCGCAGCTCCATGCAGTGGCTTCGGCAATGGAGGTGCTGAACATGGTCCATTCGGACTCAATGTCCCCAGTCTCCCTCGGAATGCTGTTGAAGCTCTGCCAGAGGTGTGCGTTGAAGATCTTGCAGACTGGGGCCTCTGCTAGACATTCCCAGCACACCCTCGCTGTACGTTTGGGTGCGCCAGGTCTGTCCAGCGTCCTCCTTCGCCACCTGATCCAACTCACCACCAGGTGGTGATCAGTTGACAGCTCAGCCCCTCCCTTTACCCGATTGTCCAAAACATATGGCCTCAGGTCTGGTGATACGATTACATACCACATCGACCTGTGGCCTAGAGCAGGGGTGTCAAACTCAAATACGCAGTGGGCCAAAATTCAAAACTGGAACAAAGTCGCGGGCTAACATGAATATTTATTGAAAAAAAAATCTTCCTCCAGATATAAGAATGAATCTTTTCTTATGGACTCAAATAAGTTTTGCTGGAAAACTGAATATGGAACAAGCAAAGCTTAATACTAAACAATATATATATTAGCTGTATAATACCAGTAGGCCTGCTCTAATAGTAATTTGGTATGGCTTTGCGGGCCAAATGTAATTAGGCTGCGGGCCAAATTTGGCCCGCGGGCCAGAGTTTGACACCTATGGCCTAGAGTGTCCTGGTGCCACGTGCACTTATAGATACTCTTATGTTCGAACATGGTGTTCATTATGGCCAAACTGTGGTTTGCACGGAAGTCCAATAACAAAACACCGCTCGGGTTCAGATCCGGGAGGCCGTTCCTCCCAATCACGCCCTTCCAGGTCTCACTGTCATTGCCCATGTGAGCATTGAAGTCTCCCAGTAGGACAACAGAGTCCCCAGGAGGAGCACCCGCCAGTGCCCCACTCAGGGACTCCAAGAAGGCTGGGTACTCTGAACTGCTGCTCAGCGCATAAGCACAGACGACAGTCAGGACCTGGCCTGAAAGGCGAAGGGGTGAGCCCAACTATATCTAGCCGGTACCTCTCAACCTCACGCACTAGCTCAGGCTCCCTCCCCACCAGAGAGGTGACATTCCATGTCCCAATTGCCAGTCTTGTTAGCCGGGGATCGGTCTGCCAGGGCCTCCGCTCCTGGCCGCCGCCTGACTCACATTGCACCCGACCCCTACGGTGCCTCCTGCGGGTGGTGGGCCTGCAGGAAGATGGGCCCATGGCCCTTTTTCAGGCTGTGCCCGGCCGGGCTCCATGGACTAAGGCCCGGCCACCAGACGCTCGCCCTCAGACACCCTTCCCTTTCCTTTGTTTTTTTTAATATGTTTGAAGTCTCCTATCTTTAAGCTTGTTTTTATACTTAGATACAAAAAACAGAAGAAACTCCTTTACTGAGACATTCAACAGAAATAAATCTGGTTTATTTTTAAGGGGGTGTGCCATTTATATTAATACCTTTTTTTCCATTTTAGACTAACAGCTTTATATGTCCACAGGTCTTCAGCAGCAAGGTATATTTCGAGTTCCAGGATCCCAGGTCGAAGTCAATGATATTAAAAATGCATTTGAAAGAGGTTAGTCCCAGGTCACTTAGCCATCTACTCTTGATTGATTTTAAATTTCGTTTTGCCCACCTCAGAAACCGCAGTTACTCTCACAGGACTCTAAAGTGCAAATAAAGAGCCTGTGTGCCATATGTAACCCTGTAATGGACATGTAAACCATTTAATGCATAATGCATGAGATCAGCATCCTAAATGAGCAAACATAACTGCACTCTTAATGCATACATTAACTTCCGAATTTGAAATGTATATTAAGAATCACTGCTATCTTACATGAAAGTGAGTGCAATGGATGAATACTGAGTAGACTGAAAATATGCTACATCTACAGGAGAAGATCCACTGATGGATGATCAGACAGATCATGATATTAACTCTGTGGCGGGAGTTCTTAAGCTTTACTTCCGGGGGTTGGAAAACCCCCTGTTCCCTAAAGAGCGTTTCGCCGACCTCATATCCACTACCAGTGAGTAACATTCCAGGAAAACATGTGGAATATGTTTTATTTAGTGTAGCACTCTGTGATTGATGTTGTTTATTACTTTTAGAGCTTGACTCTGGTGCAGAAAGAGCTCATCACCTTCAGCAGATAATCGTGACTCTTCCGCGGCCTGTGATCATCGTCATGAGATACCTGTTTGCATTTCTAAACCAGTAAGTCTCGTCACTACAAATTTTCCGGTGTGCAAAATTAAAATAATGATACTTACTGGTTCTGTTTTCCACAGTCTTTCCCAGTACAGCGATGAGAACATGATGGACCCCTACAATCTCGCTATTTGCTTTGGCCCCACACTGATGCCCATACCAGATGACCAAGATCCTGTGGCCTGCCAAGCACATGTTAATGAGATCATTAAGACAATCATCATCCACCATGAGGTCATCTTTCCAACCCAGCGAGAACTGGAGGGACCTGTGTATGAGAAGTGCATGGCTGGAGGGGACGAATACTGGTAGGTTCAAAGCTAGGTGTCCAAAATGTGCTGTGTTTTCTGAGCCATTAACAACTTGGCCTTGGAAAAATAGCACCATGTAACATTTTCCACTTCCTACCCTGGCTCTAAGCCATTTTGTACAAGGCTGTAGATTTTACACTCAATACTGAATTATCTTCTTAGACAGACACCTAATAAAGAGGGTATTGGCTTTTTTCTCATAAACACAAGACTTCTTTTCTATAGCGACGCTAGCAAGTGTTGTTTATTTAAAGACTGTATGCACCAGCAATATGATTATTGAATAACATCAATAATGCCTTTCTTAAATGATCCAACTGCTAGAATTAAAGAATGAAGAGTAGCTGTTCAGTTCCTTGTTAAAAGGATTTATCCTGATCAGTCATTTTATTGGATAATATGAATCTCACATTTAATTTAGTAGGTAGTTTGGATTTTGCTTTAATTTGGTGTATAAAGTGTATGTTTTAGAGGTTTCAAAAAAATACATGAAAAAATATGCATATAGAAAAACTAAAAATGCCAGGATCTTTTTTAGCTTTTCATTTGCATGAACAACATTTGCAATAAAAACTGACACTTTATTAGGCACAGTTTGCTAATACTGGGTTGGAGTCCCTTTTGCCTTCCGAGCTGTTTTATTATTCATGGCATAGCTTCATTAAGGTCCTGGAATATTTTGGTCCAAGCTGACATGATAGCATCACGCAGTTGCTGCAGATCTGTTTGTTGCACATCCACGATGCGAATCTCCCATTCCGCTCCGTCTCAAAGACTATCAGATTAGGATCAGGTGACCGTGGAGGCCGTTTGACTACAGTGAATTCATTGTCATTTGCAACATAACAGTTTGAGATGATTTGAGCTTTGTGACATGGCATGTTATTGTCCCGAAAGCAACCATCAGAAGTACGCTGTGAAGGCTGAATATGGTCAACAACAGTACTTAGGTAGGCTGTGGCATCTAAATAATGCTTAGTTAGTCCTGAGTGTCCCAAGGAAATGTCCCCTACACCATTACACCACCAGCAGCCTTAACCGCTGACACAATGCTCTGATTCTGACCCTACCATCTGAATGTCACAAAAAACATTGAACCTGTGCTGATTAAAAGATGCTGATTTGGTACTGACAGGCCCAGAGTATCACAAGACCCATCTCTTATGCTATTACACCACCTGTTGATACAAGGCACAATGGACCAATGCTTTCATGTTCCTGGTGCCAAATTATGACACTACTATCTGAATATAAAGGAAGAAAGACCAGGAAATATTTTTCCAGTCTTTTGTTGTCCAACTTTGGTAAGTCCACATGACTTGTAGACTTACTGACAGGAATGGCACTAGGTGTGCAATCACTGATATTTTTTTGGATACCTTGATTGTAACAAGTACTTATTTAGGATGCTGTTGCCTTCCTACCAGCTGGAAGCAGTCTGACCATTTTTCCATCACCTCTTACTGAATATTTTCTTTTTTGCGGATCATTCTCTGTAAACCCTAGCTGTGGTGGGAAAATCCCAGTAGATCAGCAGTTTCCGAAATGATAAGACCAGCTGATAAATCACGTAAATCATCTTTCTTTCATGTTCCAATGGTTGGTTTGAATGTCAGCAGGTTGTCTTGACTGTCTGCATGCCTCGGTCTATTGAGGTTGCTGCCACATGATAAATATAATATTGGTCTGGTAATTAAGGATTCCTTTGTTATAAAAGGTAATGATTGAAGAATAAGAGTGCATAAATGGCTCTTATTTTTTTTCATTTCCTTTTCTGCATCTCCTCTCTCCAGTGAAAGCCCCCACAGTGAACCAGGAGCTCTGGATGAGATTGACAATGGTACCGGGCCTAACACAAGTGATGATGGTGAGTCAGCAAACACATCAATCCATTGTGAAGACAGCAGCTGGATGTTGAGAAGCTGACAGAGAAAATAATGAGATTTCCTCTGATCTTTTTTCATATGGCAGAATTGGAGCAAATCGAAGCCATAGCCAAATTTGACTACGTGGGCCGAAGTCCAAGAGAGCTGTCCTTTAAGAAGGGAGCCTCTCTGCTGCTCTACCTGCGAGCTTCTCAGGACTGGTGGGAAGGGCGACATAATGGTGTGGATGGGCTGATCCCACATCAATACATTGTGGTACAAGACATGTAAGTTAGATTTATTTAGGCTGTGAAGCCCATGAAAAGTAAAAAAAAAAATGCTTGTCAGTTGTGTTCCATTTTCAGAAAGCTTGGCCTTAATGAAATCTTCCTAATGAAAGGATCATTATGAATAAAATGCTACACTTTCATTTTATTGCATTCTTATTGGAGCAACAGATACTCAAAGAGGGCAGACCTCAACTAAGCACATTAATCACTCTTATTTATTCCAAAATGTGTTGAGATCTTTATTTGGCTACAATCCATCTTTTCATGATTCAGATTCAAGTGGTAGTTATTCTATAATTCTGCTAACAGACAAAGGGTAACAAAAACATAACCTTTGTGGTCGAAGCAATTACCCTCTGATCCACAATTTGCTAAAAAGAGATTTTCTTCGAATGGACATTCACTCAGGTCACGTATTGAATGGAGGCCTTTAATTTCTTAATGGCTTCTTTTCTGATAAATAGTAGGCAGGTAACAAAATTAAAGCTAAATTAGGAAGAGTAGTGATTTATGCAGAAAAGGACCAAAAGGACAGAGTAATTAGTGGTTAATGTTTCCCTTTAAAAGGATGGGCTTGGTAGGTACAATGCTGTGGTGTTTTTGTACAGGGATGTGATTATTAAGGATTCTCATTTGATTTTCAACAACTATAATGAAAGAAGTTGAAGACTGTGAAACTGCCTGAAACTGCAGTTCCCTATTGACTTCTAGACACTGACTCCAAGGAAATTACAACTCTGTTACGTCGGCTTTGGCTTCAGAATCAAGCACTTACAGTTCTGGCTTTAACAGATTGTATAGTTTTGTACAAAAACTCAATGAACAGTTGCTTTAAATGAAATGGGAATGTAGTTATCAATGATTCATTCATCAAGAAAAAATCTTTAAAAAAATTGAACACAGAAATGAATTAACAGTTCAAACACTGCAGAACTCCTTATTTAGTTTATCTAGCAGACTACTGTTAATTATTTTCTATGTTAAACATGAATAAAAAAGCGTCATCGATATGCATCTGTATCAGGGACGACGCGTTCTCAGAGAGCATTCATCGGACTGAGAGTGAGACCAGCAGTGGGCCGCACCACGATGACAGAACCTCATCAAGGAATGAGCGTCAGTCTCCTTGTGAACACACACCTGAGAACCGCTTTGGACCAGCATTAGGAAGGTAGTAACAGTTAGATATTTGGGATGGACTTGAGAGAGGAAGGACATTGAACATTTATCCAGAGCAAAGAAACTGAAACTATTCACGAATTAAATATCAATTTCATCGCCTCTTTTTAGGGTGCGAGTGCGATCAGATGGCGCTGCAGCTCCACGCCATAGGAACGGCGCCGACAGCCTGAGCCCCACCAGAGCTGCTGATCTACCCCCCAGGGTTATGCCTCGCCCCCAGAGTCCACACAAAATAGCTGTCAGCAGGGGTCTAACTGACAGTCCTGAGAAACGCCGTCTCACCACATTTGGCAGTGCTGGCTGCATTAGCCACCCTGATAGAAAGGCGTTTGTCGACAGCCACTCTCAAAGATCATCACCAAGCACCACCCGGCATGCAAGTTTAGGAGACCACAAGGCTCTTGAGACCGAGGCACTCGCTGAGGTGATTAAAATCCTTAAAAGCACATGCAGTTTTTATTAATATAGACTTTTCTTATTTTATTGTATAACAAACATGTACGTATACAACTATCCTATATGTATGGCTACTCTAAAAAGGGAGCTTCCTTTTATAGCTTCATCTGAAAAATCACAACTGTATCAAGGCAAAATTAAGGAGGAAAAAAATCTCAATTCTCGCTACCATTCCTAAATATTATGTGCATCATTAGCTCTTTGATGGGTACCAAAACATTACACAGTTGGCAAATAAAATTTTGGGTTTAGTTTTTCCACCATCACATAAAAAGGCTCGAGCTCTGAGGAATAAAACTTAAAATAGATTTAGCTACTCTCTGCTTGGTTGCTTGACATCAGTGTCTTTTGTTTTTTCCTCTACTTATGCTTCTCAGGATATAGAGAAAACAATGAATACAGCCCTGCATGAGTTGCGTGAGTTGGAGAGGCAGAATGTAGCCAAGCACGCGCCTGACGTTGTGCTCGACACATTGGAGCCGCTTAAGCACCCTGGTGGAGTGCAGGAGGTGTCTGCCAGCCCTCTCCATACCATGGTGATCAGGGATCCAGATGCAGCCCAGCGACGCAGCAGTAGTAGCTCCTCATCTGAGACTATGACCACTTTTAAGCCCGCTCTGTCAGTCCGTAGACCAAGTGCTCCTTTAAGGCCCCCGCCTGTCAGACCTGTTCGACCGGCTCCTGTGATTGGACAGGGCCAAGGACCTCACCGCTCCAGCAGCTCCAGTTCGTCTGGTTTGGGCAGCCCGAGCATTACTCCCACTGACAGGGTCTTCCCCAAAGCACCGTCTCCATCACCATCCACCTCCTCTTCTTCCTCGGACAAACAAGGTAACATGTAGCTCCAGTCAGACAAGTGGTTGAAGAATGCTGTGGATACAGAGTGATTCAGATTATCATCATGTTCCTTCCCCTTTTTTTGGACGGCAAAACAAACATTGACACCCGATGAATATTTACCACTAATCTTGTGTAGTGTAGGATAGGTGCTTGTTTCTGCCCACAACATCCACTCTGTTTCCACGTGTGTTGGGAACAAGTCAATGTACTGTACTGCAGTGATATGTTACGCAAAAATAGGATTTAAATCTATGAGAATTATTTTATAGTAATGCTGTCATGCTGAATAGCCATGCTGGGTAAAGGGATGCACTGGAAAATGCTTCTGTTTACTGAAACACAACAGAGAAGTATCTCAATGAAATGTTATTAGGTTACAAAGATGCCATGAGCGTGTTCTTTGTAAGTGGTTTCCTGCTCCATTATAAAGGGAATACTTAAGGGAATATTTCACCACTAATCATGTAGACATCTAGTCTGTGGTGGTGGTTCATAATATTCCTTTTATATACCATTTATATTGAAAGAAGTTGTCTCAGCAAGCCTGTCCCACAGCGTCACAGCATAAGCAGACAGACAGACAACATGGCCGGATGGGGAAAACACAGTGGACCTGTCTCAAACTGCAGTTTTTCTAATGACCACTAGATGCTGGCTCCAAGGAAATTGCAGCTGTGTAATGTTATCATGGGCTTCGGCCCCAAGCCGTTAAAAGATTCTATACAAAACCTCTATGCACGGTGGCTTTAAATGAAATCCTCCAAATGTTACCTTGAAATGTAAGGAGCTGGGTAAAGCTAAGAAAAAAGTGTTGGTGAAACTCCTGGCAGCAGACTGATTGGCAACTAAAGCACAAATGGGCCTAATTGGCACCAGTTTGCCAGCTTGTGCTGCTGCTTCAGTCTGGCAAGTTTACGGCCACTGCGATGGTAGTCTCATTGTCCAATAGCCTGTGTCAGGCAAAGTTGTGTCAGACGGCAGCATTGCAGCTCCTCTTCTCCCTCCATTTGTTACATTTCCTCAGCAGTGGACCAGGACTGTTACATACCCACTGTGATTCTAATATTTGATAGTGTCCACTCCGTGTCAGGACTGGGAATCTGTTTCTAAAGTTACTTCTTAATTCTTATATATCAAAAGAAAAGTAAGTGATTTCCTTAGCCAAAACTACTTTCTCTTTTTTCTTCATCTGTTAATGTCAGAATGGGCCAGAGAGTAGCAAAATAACCTGAAGTACAGTAATACAAATAATACCGAAAGTTGTTGTGACCATTATAGATATGCTGTGCCTATAATTAAAACAATGAAATAAAGACAAACATAAAAAAAGAGCTTATATTATTGTCAACTCTCTATATTAAAGGATTAGCTGTGTTACCTCAACAGACTCTCGTACACTTCAAATGACTAATGCACTTATACAAAAAACACTACAGGGAACTGTGCTGCATTTGTAAGTTTTGTGTTTTCATTTTGATGAACTTGTACTAGGAACATGATATAGCACATCATCATTGAAGCTTGTCAAGCCTCGTCTAGAGTACACATGGTCACTGCAGGCTGTGCGTACGTTTAGCCAAACTTGTTTACTGTTGGTGATATTTGTGGTCCGTCTTATGAGGATGATCAGTATATCTTTAATGTGTAATAGGTACATCGGAATGAATATATACATATTGTTAAAGGACGCTTGTAAAAGTAACATTGTATGATAGAAACAGGATATATTATCATCTCTAGTGTGTAGATTTTTGTAATTCTTACCCTTGCACAGAAATTGGTAAAACAATAAATCAATGAAACCTCCCAGAAATGTCTTCAATGTCTCTGTGGTGATTTTGAGTTAAAAACAAAACAATGTAGATGATCGATATTGAACAGTAGCTGTGCTGCAAATGCACCTCACAAAATGTAAGTAATGCAGTGACTTTACTTCTTTGTAAGAAATGAAAATCAACATAATGTATAATTACTTTGACTTAAATGCATGTACAGTGGAAATGCTGTAACTATAGTTGTGTTGCAGGGCCATCTACTGGCTGGCATGGATTATAGTGCCATCCTGAAAGGCTATATAATCACTGAAAGAAAACATTTGAAACTGCAAACATACATGAAAGATATAATGCAACATGCGCTGACAGTCAATTAGTGTCAAATGTATTTTCTTTCTTTTTATTTTATCTTTAGTCATTTGATGGTCAGATCCACATGGTCAGATCCCTGCAATGATATCTCAGTATGTTTGCTTTTTAAATTTTTTATAATGAATGTTCCTTTTTGCACTAGCGACAAGCTTCTCACTGGATTAATGTCTCATAACTATAACATATTAGTAATGGTTCAGGGTTAATGTTTAAGAAGCCATTCAATGACCACATTTGTCCTGTGGATGGAGACATTGTGCTTCTTGGGTCCTTGAAAGGAGACTGAAATGCTCTGCCGAATTGAAAAGGTTCAAAGAGTCTCCTTTTATTGATATGCACGTGTACTCGGAGGCCAGCCCAGTACATGGAAGTCATCTTCACTGCGAGAAACACACAACTTATTTTCATCCAAAGAGTTGCGAGACAAATTTGTAAATAATGCAAAGGGATGAAAACCATAAAAAAAAGTGAAAAAACAAAAAGGAAGTAAGCATACTAGCTTTCCACCTTTTCAAAAGCAAAAACTCTCTTTTTCCCCCATATCCTGATCAAGATGAGTTTGTTTTGCTTCTTCCATAACCAGCACTCAGTGTCAAGTTTAATTCACTTAGGTGTGTTTATTGAGATTAAAAGTGGGAATATAATCAGATTGTGGCCTTAACTGAGGCCTGAATGCCTGCCAAGAGCGAATGAACAACCTGTAGACTAACACCCAGCTTTCCGGCTATGGGTTCTTATTTCAAAAGGCCTTTTCATTGATGTTGTTATATGATTAGCAAGGCCACCAGAGTCGAACCAAGCACAAAGTAAAGTATTTCCTGGCAATACAGTATTCAGGTCCCCCACTTACAAGTGTAACAGTACGTATGAAACTTGAATCAAGAAGGGAGACGTACGTTTATTGGAGCATCCCATGCTATTCTACAGTCCATATTTTGATCATTTAGACTTGATGATACTCTGCCTAAAACATGAAAATTTAATTTCCAATGTTAGAACACATTTTTAGTTCGAAGGTGTTTTTAATTTTCAATATTAAATAAACGTTTCTGTTTTTGCTCTCAGTTACAGTAACCTTTTGTTGCCATGTTGGCCCAGTATTCTTAGTTTTCGTGTGTTTTGTATTTTGTTCTTTATTTATGCCTTGGTTCCTAGGTTGTTCTGTTAAGATGTTCCTTATTTGATTACCCCCTGTGTGCCCCTCTGTGTATCTGTGAGCCCTCGTTTCCCCTCCTTGTGTTTTATTCCATGTTTTCCCCAGCCCGTTATGTCTGTGCTCTCCCCGTGCTCTCTCTCCTCCTGTCTGAACCTCTGTTTACTTCCTGTTTTACTTTGACAGTCTCTCGTCAGTATGTGTCATGTTGTGTTCGATCCTGCCCTGTCTCATTACGATTATCTGTGTCAGCTGTGTTCCCCGTGTGTCCCACTTCCCTCGTTAACCCTCTGTGTATTTATGGCCGCGTCTCCCTCAGTTCAGTGTCGCGTTCTCTAGAGGTGGGAATCACCACTTAACGCACGATACGATATTATTGCAATTTTTTAAAATATTTTGCGATATTCAGATTCTGTACATAAAGGTAAACTTTATCAATATTCATTTTATCTAATATCAAAGTCTCGCACTCAGTTTTTCTCTCATTTCAGTCAGTTTTATTGTTGACAAACTGAACGGTTTGTATTACAGTCTAGTCCAACTTAACTGAATGCAACCATCTGGTACAATTATAGTTATTCTGAACTATGCAATTTATGAAAACTATGCAGCCCCTTCAGCAACCGAAGAATTTTAAAGTAAATTAAAACAAAATATAATTTTACATTAAATAAAAAAGTTTTAAACTTAATTAAAATAAAACATGTCTTAAATTAAAATAAGTAAACTGTCATGTTTATTGCTGCCAAAAAAAAGTTAAACACATTTGGACAGTGAAGGAATGTTAGGATTCTTGCTCAGAAAAAGGAGCTGATCAACATGCTCTGAAGTCAGAGCACAAAAACTTTTTTTGTAACAAAATATCGACTTCTGCTGTCCCTGTATCGATACATTATTAGCAAACAAAATATCACGATACTACACAGTATCGATTTTTTCCCCCACCCCTAGCGTTCTCCCTCATGACTGTGTGCCCCTCTGTGTGTTTCCTCGTGAGTCAGTTCCTTTATGACTTCCCAGTTTAGTTTCATATTATTTTGTATCGTCTTAACTTCCGTCAGCAATAAAACTGTGTTTTGAGTTCATTCCTGCCTCCGTGAGCTTGCGTTTGCGTCCTCATCCTGCCTGCACACAGCCTAATCATGACAGTTAAGTAATGTTTTGCATAGGTATATTCTGCCTGCATAAGATTATTCTCTAAAAGATGCTCAGCCTTTCATTCCTTGCACTTACAAGGAAAGGAAGCATAATGTTACACAGTGCATTTCTGAGGTAAGTGATTTATTTTCAAATTTGATTTCACTTCATTAGACTGCTCAATTCTACTAAGATTTTCAAGTATGGTCAATTAAAACTATGCAGGAGTTTAATAATGAACAATTGGAAGCAAAAGTAAAAAATAAGGAGTCGTCTGTAGCAGATTTTCAGCTTACTACACCACTAATTACCTCACAGCCACTTAAAGCTGTCTTGAGGCCCCTTGCATGACACCTCTGCTGTCCTTAATGAGATAAAGTAAGTCTTTTGTCCAAAAAAAAGCATGATTTCTGGAAATATTTATCCATGTAACTTGTGAACACTGGTATTTTGAGTAGTTTTTGATAAGTGAGAATTATTTCCTTCCATTTTCGTGAGGTAATGTTTCTTTGACCCCAGAAGGAATCTGAGTTGCTGTTTACTTAAGTTAATCTGACACTTCATTCATTATGGCGATCCAACTTGGAGTTAAAACATATTTCTATCCAAAGTCAATAAGCAGCTGTAAGGCACCAGACTTGTAAGGTGCACATATCTTGCTTAAAGTCTTTGTTTTCAAGAAATAAAACAATAACTGATTGACTATATAAAGCAAGAGTGTTAGAAGTCGATTGTTTTTATAGTAGTTCCTACGGTAGAAGTTGTGTGGGCTACCAAGAGAAAAATATGGACTGTGTGTAAGTAATTGGTTAAATATGACACAAATAGTGAAAATAAAGTGTTTGCTGATCATATCTTAATTTCATCATGAATCCCTTTTTATTGGTAATAAAATAAAATAAATAAAAACTTTACAATGTGGAGGTATTTTCTTATTCAGTGAGTATGCCAAGGTAACAACACTGAAAATAGCTATATTAAATTTACAATCGAATGCATATAGCAAACTTTAACTGAAAGGTGCTTCAGCATGAAGCAGATTGTAACCTAGTTAAATATTTCCTACACTTTCCATCCCTGGAAACATCTGAGATAAAAGTAAAAGAATCTTTTCTGTGCAGAAAGGAAGTAAATGTTGCAAAGTTATTAATGTATCAGGACACTAAAGAAAATCTTTTATCTTTCCCTTATTGAGTCAGTGCTTTCATCTTCTATGGCTTTCTTAACCTTAAAAAACTGGAACACACTGGCTAAAACTGTAAAGGTATGCTTTAAGATGTCTTGGGCCACACTTTATCAGCTTTAGCAAGTATATGACATGATGGTCCTTTAAAGGACTCAAATCATTTTGGACCTTCAGCATCCTTTACATATTAAGTTCCAGTTCCTTTCTTTAAACACGTTTTGAATCCTTTCCCTCATGGTTCATGGTGATAGTGTAGCACATTTGCTTTTGTACATCACATTGTATAATATATATATTTTGTAGGACCACTCTCTGCAAAGTAAACTTCCCCTGGGGCACAGTAAAGCTTTATTCTTCTCTACGCACCTCTAAATGTAAGAAGGAAACTTTGAAAATGGAAACACACGCATACACACACACGCATACACACACACGCATACACACACACACGCACGGACACACATACAAACAGACACACACCCCTGAAAATGTGTAGTGATGTTACTTTTCTGTTCTCTTCCATGGGAGAGCAGTGCAAATACCAGTGTCATATGATAAAATCCACATCTCTGTTTGATCAGTGCATTTCTAACAAGCTCTAAGTGACAGGGAAATGTTTTTTATTCATACACATGGGTGGAAACTGAAGGAAATAATGAAGGTAGCTTCGAAACTAAATCGCCAGAAAAGACTTTGTTTTCCATTTGTCCTGCAATGTCACACATCTGACTAGAGTAAAGAGAACAGAGAAGCAGCACATACTAAATAAAACAGACAGCTCTTAACTTTTTTCTTTTAATTGCATGAATTGTTACATTAACTGTACCAGTCTCTCATGACAGGTCCACACTTTCCAACTTCCACACCAATAAAATTTCCTTAGTCTATAGTTTAAACTAAATTAAATTAATGGCTGACTACAGACAAACCAGGCAACCATATAATTTACCTCATAATTTAACCAATCATCAGTCAGCTGCTATATTCACTCTGTTTCATCTACCTTAAAATTAGCAATAAAAGTAGAAATGCTTGCAAAGGAATGTCTTGTATTCAAAATAAACTTTACTAACAGAAGCTGCACTACAGTCAGAGACTAAAGTGCTAATAATGCTCCTATAATAGTGATGAGGAAACTAGTATAATTTGAGGATGATGCATCTGAAGGGTTGTGGAATTATCAACATTCA